GTTCACTATGTTCAATTGTCAACAGAGACATATTTTTGTTGTGAATATGTAGGAGTTGAAAAGAGCAAGATTCTTTGTAGAAAAAGCTTAATTGTATAAATACAATTACAGTAAGCATGTTTCTTTGATAGAAGGAAAAAAAGTTCTTTTGAAGAAAATTAATTAAATGAAATAAATATATTTAACTTCAAAAACAACAGATATATTTTGATTTTGTATCTTAAAAATATATCATAAATATGTACCTACAGTATATATCATAAAATATATAAATGCTCTTGGAAATTAAGTTCAGGTTATCTTTTATATATCATATATCGTATATATTTTGTATACATTATAATACCATAATATATGTAAAATTCTAGGATATTTTCAATAATATTCTTTCTTATAGATTCATTATTATATTTTAATAAATACATTTAAAGAATATCAAATTGATTTAGTAGAGAAATTATTTTACAAAAATATGTTACAAAATTCATATATTATTTAATTTTTATCTAAGTAGATTTGTATAATAATAATTTTAATACTTAAAATTTAATTTTCAGTGTTGAATCCAGGTATTGTCAACTGGGAGATACTGAAATCAAGATATATTTTTTAAAATAAGTATTAGCATAAAATTTCAATCTCATTCTGTTGTTAATCAGATATGTAAGTTTTGTATGATAAAGAATTTCAAATCTCAATATAATAATCACAATCTCAATTACAATAATTTAGATATATATTGATATTATATAAGATATATATATTGTATTCTGCCCAAATGATTATTATTACTTCAATTAAATGCAGACACTTGTGTGACTATGGCTCATTGACATCTGATAAATATCATGTTCTAAAGATACAAATATAGGTAAACCTTGAATAACTTGATAATTATACAATGCAATTCACAAATTGTAGCAATCCTTGTATAATGCAGCACTTATAAACTGCAATTTAGATAAGAGTTTGTATGAAATCATCTGTTTATCTTATTCTAGTAAATGTTCTTTCAGTTATTATAATATACTTTGCCAATGTAGATTGTGCAATTTTCCCCTATACAGAGAGAGCTTTTCTCTGTAATTATGAAAGCTTTTCATTTTCATGACAATCTTGTTAAAAAAATGTAAAATACTATTCTGTGCTAATAAAAAATTTTATAGGCCAGAAATTTCCTTTGACATTTTGTGTAAGCTGCATGCTGCTTATAATTTTCTTTTTATTTTTCAGTTGCATTCTTGAAAATAGCATTTAATTACGTAATAAGTGTGAACAAGTTAGTTAAAGACATACAGTAAGTGAATATCAATCCTGAGTGATAAAAATCATATTTTACAAATTTAGTAAGTTTATTTTCATCTCATAATTCATGTTTTGTTAAATAAAATTTTCTGAATGAAATAAAGCTGTTTTTTTCTGAAGATATATAAAATTTGTATTTAAAAAATTGTTTAAAACATAAACCCACTTTTATATATAATGTGAATCTTGCATAACAATTTTTATAACAATATTTTTGTGAAACCTAACTATTGCATTATTTGAGGGTTACCTTACATATCTAGCAGGGTAAAGTGCCTTGACAAAACTTTGTATCAAAAAATAAACAAACATATTACTATTTGTGAAATAATATAATTTATTTAATATTGAATGATTTTATTATGTTCTGTAACTGTATAGCACAACATAAATCACATAATTTGGTAATTTGGTATATAGCTGTAAAGTATGTCAAATAATAAAAACATCAAAAATATATCATACAATCACATTCTAACATATTGTAATGTTTTAGGTGTGTGTGTGTGTGTGTG